TCCGCAAGTGTCAACAAAGCGAGCACCTGGTTTAGCTGTTCTTCCATTTCGGCAGTCTGTTTTCTCGTATTTACCATAAATGCAAATTTCTTCTCTCACTTATCCCACTTGTGACACCAATTGTTACTTATACGGGTTCGCAGATAAGTGAGACTGCTTTTTCGAACTTCAACAAATTTTATGAAACACAATAACATAAAAATCACACGAAATTTAACACTACTTTACACTCCGAACTACCCCAAATAAAGCTTATACGGCACGATTATTTTCGAACGTGGTTATTTAGTTCCTGATCCTTACGCGGTGCGCACTGGGGCTTTTATAGTTATGTGCGTCCTTCTCTAAAACGGTCGAATTTTCGTGATTCAGTTCATCTTGAAAATAGTCGAATTTTCTGGCTTCTTCAACTGTAGTTACAGGGGGCAATCAAAAAGTACGAGTGGCGGGTTTATAACAATATTTTCCCGGAACTACTCATCCTATTTCGCCAGTCTAACTAGATTTCCTTTAGGCATCCTTGACTTAGGTAAAGGATTTTTTTGGCACTAGTATTAGCAAGTTATGAAGAGTTCATTCTTCGAAAAAATACTAGATACATTATTAGTTATATTAATCTAACTGAAGCAATTATTATCTGAAATAGACTCAATTAGGTTTCCTAGGTTTTTGGAGAAAACTTCAACTTTCTCTTCCTGGTCCCATTCTTATCATTTGTTGTGGGTCAAGATGCTGGAATCTTCTCTTGTGGATTTCCAAGGTGAATTATCCACAGTTGGAGTTAGGCTTTCTGTGTGTTCTTCAATCCACTCAGAGATTAAATCGTGTAGCTCTTTCAATCATCTGTTGAGTTCTCTCTTCTTTCTTGATTTCTTGCTTATTGCAAATTCTTTCGTAGCTGTATTTCTTCGAAGCAATTTTCTGCCTTACAAGAAAAAAAAAGTCCCACAAAAATAACTGTTTATTGAACGGTCGCAGAAACCATATAATCTTGGGCATTCGCTTATTGACTCAACGGCTTTGAATTCTGATTAAATTTTCATCCAAATTATAGAAGGCAATAAAAACGTTGGCGATCTGACACTGGAAAATTAATAAAGAGGGAAATTAGTTAGCAGAACGATTGGCTTTTTTAATTTTTTCCAGGCATGTCGATTTTTTTCACTTTTCACTCTTTCTATGTATATAAAAATCAAGTGTTGATCTATCTATAGATTCAAATAGTTCATTTGAGACAGAGGAGGATAAAACACGGTTTATTTGATAAACTATACGCAAATAAATTTTTCTGTTGGACAAATACTGCTTTGTCCTCAATCCTAATTCAAATTCAAACAATTAAAGTCAATTGAAAATTCAATACAAAAATTAATTCAATAAAATGCGGCCCGGTTTCAGCGGAGATTAGGGAAAATAATACCCCGGGATCGTGGCAAATTAAATAACGAATATTTGACGTCATAATATTTAAGGTATAAAAATGGAATGTTTGGGGTTAACACGGCCACTCTTATTCCAAGTCGGGCTCCCTCGCTGGCAGAGCAGAGTAAAAGGGAGCCCACGTCACTCAAAACGGCATTCACAAACACACGGTTTAATCTTTTTTAAAGAGGGTCGGATTTAGTTTCCTAATTAAGAACCATTTAGAATGTCATTTTTTTTATTTGATGCCACTCTCGGAGCCCCTGGAGTAATCTTTTTTTGGCATTTTTTTGTTGGTTTTAGAAAGCGAACCCTTTCCGAAGTCATTAGAGTGGCTTGTCACTCTATTTTTCTCAGTCTTTTTTTTTGTGGTGTTGGGGATAATCCTTCACTTGTTGATGGAAAAAATATTCTAAATTATGCGTTGTTAAACAGCTGATAAATTATCAACGATTACCTTCCAAAAGTTTCTTCAAAAAATAATATCAAGTTCTAAAGAAATTGAAACAAACCAGACACTTTCTCGACTCAATATTTTTTAAGCCCGACCGTCTAAGAACTTTCCCAGATTTGACAGGAATAATCTCCTACTACGCCGTAGCAGCAGCAAGGCGGCCGTCCAGAACTTTGGGTAGCATAATTCCGCAAAAAGTTGGAACACAAAGAAGTTTCGCTAATTCAAATCAGTTCGGGAACCAAAATTCGACCTACCCCACCAACTTCGCTTAACTAGTTCACACAAGTCAGAAAGAGAAAGTACAAAGAACGTAAGTGTAATTTGTGTCGGCAAAGTTTCGGACTAAGTTAGCGCCAGTTTGAAATTAAAGTGAACTTTTTATGGACCCTGGCATGAATTTTGTGAAATCGATGGTGTTTACATTTCGACTAACTTTTGGAAAATCGATGGGCAGAATTTTGCTCCATATTTTTTTGTTCCAGCTAAGTTAATGATAAATATACTAGAACTTCTATATTAAACATTAATTTTTACTCTCCTTCTGTCCGACCTAGTTTATTTTTCAATATTCTAGGTCATAATGTGTATCATATCTCTATGTATCAAAACATTTTGGTATAGGAGATTGGGAAAAAAAAAACTGGGTACCTGCTCGGTTTTCAGGAAATTACAATAATTCTAAGAAAAGGATCCAAGAAATAAAAAGGAAACAGGAAAGGTACAAAAAATGCTAGAAGAGCAACGAAAAAATCTTATGAAATTGTATTTTCTCAAAGACACAAAGTAGCACAAATGGAAATAAATTACATGCCAAGGTGAAAAGTATTTAATTTCTAATAAGGTAAACAAACAGCAACCGAACCGAGCTGGCTCTGTAATTGAGTACAAATAAATTGTCAAATTTGGTCAAGTTGGCAAAGGTCACTTTTTGACTCGGTTTTCTATGGCCGTAAGGACAATGAACAGTTGTTTGCTATGTGACATTGTCGGATCGTCGAGTCCAGTCGGTCTAACAGAGAATTTCTGAAAGTGATGAAATTAGCTCAGTACGCCGCCAAAACTGGGGGGAAGCTGCAGAAATAGGTTTATTGCCAGGATAAACTCTACCAAAAAAAATATGACAAGCTTTGAAGAATAATGTACTGGAAATCAGATGTCTGACAAGAAGTTATTGATGCTTGTGTCAATTTATTGAATAGTGCAAACCACGATATTCATAAGATATAGAAACCTAGATATACGAACCGCAAAGGTCAGGCACTTTATCTATGCAAAGAATTCAAACTTTCTTGAAAGGTAACCGTCAAAAGCGTAACGTAATCTCTTTACCTTCCGATTATATAAAAATGCGATCATAACATAATGTATTGTGTTTCGAGGATACAAGTTTTTATTCACACCCAGGATATGGATTATATATCTTGTGAAGTTGTTCCCACTCTCAGTTGCTATAAAACTGGCCTTCTAGGTGGAAATAGCAGTCGATTACTGCGGTTTGGACTTCACTTCAACAAATAGGTTCTGTCCCACTTTTAGCGTTAAAATTATTATTATGAATTATTCAAAGTGATAATTTCTTTTGATATAATTGACACACATACGTAATAAATTATATAAGACTTTAACAAAAGTTAAAAAAAAAAACAAAAAAAAAGTAGCTTTTGATATTTGTGTGTAAAAGTCAAACGACAATTTTGGAATTTATAAATCAACTAAAGTCCTTTACAGATGCATAAGAAGATCTCAAGAAATTATTTTGTCAAACCCTTGCCTACTAACGCCATCTTTTACTCTTTCCCCTCACTACATCTTTTCCATGCAGCCGAAGGTCCAAAGCGCAATTTAAATTTTCCTCTTGCTGCTCGCGCTCATTGAAGCCCTTTTATACAAAGAGATTTTTCATGAAGATTTTCAATATAATTATTCAAAAAAAAAAAGTTTCCGCACCGAATATTTTGTTAACTATGTGATGATCTAAAACTTTTTTCTGAAAAGTATTCCGGTATAACTGTATAGAAACTATTTTTCGCCAAGGCACGGGTGGAGTTGAATATGGAATTGGGCCCTTTCGGGAGGTATTTTTCGAAAGAATTTTAAATAGGCGGATAATGAAAAAAGTTAGCTTTGATTTTAACATTTTATAAAATCATCTTTTTATTATTTTTTTTGTAATACCGTCGAAAGTACAATAGAATTTGAAGTCGAGGCTCTGCAATACCTCCGCTATAACTTTATTATTAATATTGGAGGAAACTTGTCAGAATGTTCAATTAGAGGCCAACGTTTAACAGCAAAGGAACTATTGCGGATAGGGGAGTAACTAATGAAATTTGGAATAGAGAGAAATAGGTATGTATGTTACTAAGTATATCAGTTGCTCATAAACTGTTGGGTCATTTTTGCTACGTCATTGTCAGCTAATTCGTTTTCTGCAGTTATGCCATCAAACTGATAATGGTAAAAGTTGCTGTATGAAATAAACTATCCTACGAACTATTCCAGTACTCATAAGACATGTTTCTCGTTTTGTAAATATACGCTTTGGCAATCGAGTAATCCAAATTAGGATACTCTAAGTTAGGAATCGATGGTAAAATGACAAACAAGCAACACGCAAGATCGTCAGATTACTGAATCTAAATAAATGTGGTTGGTACTTAGATAGATGGACACCCAAGTAGTGCCACGGTTTCGGGCTAGTATGAAATAGTGTATCTATTGGAGTGGGGTACTGGTCAACACACCTCAATAGGTCGATCTAGCTTTCTACAGAACTGGGGGTCCTATAGTGATTGATGACCTGGGTTCAGATGCCTTCTCAACGAGGAGTCAAGGAGACCCACTTTAAAATTATAAACTTGCTCTGAAATAAAAATTGTGGGTAAACCATACGTGAAGCTACGCAATTACAATCGGATGAATAGAATAGGATTGTCTTCGTTCGGGTTTTTAGCCCACAGACACAAACCTATTATTAGTGTTGAAATTGTATATGGTCTATTTTTTGTTTATTATATTTTTAATATTTATTTTGAGAAAAAAAAAAAGTCTCACCTTATCATGTATCCCGACCAGGCCTCATACATTAGGGTGGGCAGATATGGCAGGGCGGAAAGACTATGTAAGTAGAGAGGGTTGCATCTTGCGCGCGCTTTTAAAATCCCGTGTGCCGGACAAGAGAGTGGTTCGTTCGCTATTCGATGAGCGCTCAGTTCAGCTCCGACTCGCTACGAAACGCGCAGGGTGCAGTCCGTTGAGGTGCAACTTTAGAACTCCGTAAAACGGAGTGCGTAACGTCACGCAGACACGACGACACGAAGAAGTTTCGCGAACTTTTCGAAAAGTTGAGAAAATTAGAAAAGTTTTTTTTTTTTTGTTTTTCGAAAACTTTTTATTTTTATTTTTGTGAATGTGGAACGTTGTAGCTACTATTGTTGTGACAATATGGATAGTGAAAAATGTGACTGATTGATATTGTCAAAAAATGATTGAATCTGTTTCTGCAACTACAAGGTATTTGGCGAATTTGTTTCAAATATATTTTGTGCATATTTAAAAGATAATGTTGCAACAAATTGTGACTTATGAGTATACAAGTTTTAAAATAAAATCATAGAACGAAAAGCAAATACAAAAAATGTGTGTTACTAAAAAACTATGAAAAACTATAAAATGAACATCGAGTACACTTACGTTATGGAATATTATATGTAATCCTAAGTGAAAAAGGGTCGATTAAAAATATCTTATAATTTCAAATAAATGAACTACCCATCAATTTTCTATAAAACTTATTAATCTATTAAACCATATTATATTAGAACAACTCTATTTTCCTACATATTTTTCTCTATAATACATTTTTAAAGGTACATAAAATGTCACCGAGGTTTCCGTGGCATTGGATCTTCGTGATCATAGGTCGTAAAAACGAACTGAAAAATCCATTATAGTGCGTAAAATTTGTCACAGCCCTTTCTAGCGTGACAAGCTACTAGAAGGAAATTATATCGGCGACGACAGCATGGTTGAAACCTGATGACATAATTTTGATGTTTTGTCGATAATAAATTTGAGTGAATCAGCGTTAGATTCACAAATTTATAGTTCTGATAAAATTTCACTTCCAATTTTTTTTCAAATTTCTATTCTCATCAAGTTAATTTTCTAATTTGAAAAAAAAAAAAATTTTTAAGTGAAAACTTCGAAAATCCATGCACGGCGTCAAAATGAATATGGGAATGCCGCCGTCAATTCTCCCCTACATATGAAGGGTCGTGCGTCACGCAATGAATGAGTTGAGAAGGGAAAACCGACACATGCTTTTCACTATTTATTTAAGCTCGGCCCTAACATTTACGAATTTGGTCAGGATTTTTAAAGCTGGTCAGTTTAAAGGTCGTCATTTCTGGTTTATAATTCATATTAGACTCAGCGAGTAGTATCTGAAAATATACCATCATTGTTGCTAGAGAGTAAACATACAGTGGGCGAATTCTGTCATTAGAGATGAAACCTACATTTTTGATATAACTACTTTGCGATTGTAAAATCGTTTAATATAAATTATTTCACCGTAATGTTACTAAAAAATATTTTAAATTGGCCATGCTCATAACAACATACCTAAGCAGTAATGATAAGACCTGGATTTACTTCCAAATTATTACCTATTGCATTTATTCTTCAAGAGTCCTGCGAAATAAACTTTCCAATCAAACTATATGCTAAGTCGTTAACAAGTTCAACTATTTTGCTTTAATTCGAAATATTCACTTCACATGCATGTTATATTATTTCAATAAAGCTTCAATATTATTTCTTCTTTGCGGACAAGCTGAAAATAGAAATTGGTTAGTTGTGGCTATTTTTCAGTTCTAAAGGTAAATTTTTCCTAAGAAAAACTGACCCACAAGTGATTAGTAGCGAATTTGTGCAATAAGTAATTTATTAGTCTGTATAGAAACACTTGCTTTTCCAGCTTCAACTCTTTTTTTTTGCTTATGACATAAAGAGTTTTATAATTATTTTATCATGCATGCTATCCCTCTAATTCAATTTCAAAACAATTTTCAAAAATCGATCCCCCCTTACCTACCCTTACCTTACAAGTTTTCGGCACAGATATATCACTAATACGTTTCTTTCGCTTGTCAGGCAACGAACAGGGGGGCCCTTTAAGTAAGCAGGCACGCATGCAGTAGGGCAAGGGTGCGTTTTTATGTTTTAGCCCTTAAAGGGAGATCCGACGCATTCAGGGTCGTGGATATTAATATTTTCCCTTTAAGTGGGACAGAGGGGATGAATGGTGGAAGAACCGAATAGGGGAAAATTTGTATTGTTTTGGGTTAATTACTCTCTGAGTATCGAATATTGGGGGTGTCCAGCATGAATTGGGCAGTTGCATTTTGTTCGACAGATTTTTTTCCAATGTAAACATTCCATAGACTTTGAAATTCATTTTAGAGCCCAAAATCCCTCTTTAAATTTAGTTGACCAAGCACAATCACGACTATATACTTACAACATTAGACATAACTGGCATCAGTAACTTTCGAAAATCCCCAAGCTCCTGTTAAATAGAGATAGCTAAAGTAAGGACTATCCAGCAGGATAAACTGGTTAATCCTGGAAGGCACTTTAAGGCGGGATTCAGTTTAGAAGATGGGAAGTTTTGGATTGAAAGTCGACTTTAGAGCCATCCTGGATTAAGGGGTTGATTATTGGGGGGCGTGAGTTTCTGATTTTAAAAGAAAATACACTGTTTTAAACACACCTAAACTAACAAAGCTTGTTATTTTGTTTTTGGGAGGAATTAAGATAATCTTTAAACGTGGTACACTTGAAAGACTGGAAGAAATTTTGCCTTTATCAAAAATATTGTTTTATTTGATTACGAGTATAATCCTTGCTCAATGAAATAGATCACTTATCAATTTTATTTTGATTGAAGTAGCAACCTGTGCAAACTTAATATGTGCTTTACGGCCAAAGTATTGATATTTGTACCAACTAAAAATTCATCAAGTGAATAAATAAAAACAAACAAAAAAGTCCTAGACTTGAAATATTTCATTATACTCATGTAACAAAATTTGTAATGTAACCACTACAAACGATGGAAACTATCCGAATCGGTAGACATTAGATATTCATTTGGGATGCCCGAAGACGAGAGGAATTTAATAAAGGTCCGTCGTCGGGCTGATTACCAGCTTATCAGGTGTTGTCTATCTAGTCATTAGGTTCTCCTGCCTGCCCTCTGTGGATTTGTCGAAAGATAATTCTGGGGATACAACAAGGTCAGTGGGAACAGTCAGAGAGATAGATATTTAAACGAGACACGGACGATCAATTCGAGTTAAGGTTTAATGAACATTGTTTAATACACAATACAACAAGCAAAAAAAAAAAATCCTGGAAAAGTTTAAATTAAACCGAAAGATTTCATGCTAGATAAAATAGATTTTGTTGGGTAAAGCAATGCCGTCATTTCTAATACCTAAATAAATTATGTTGTATCGATGTTCGTTCGTAACGAAACGAAAAATAAAATAAATAAAAACTTAGCACTGCAACAACGCTTTCAGAACTAACTGCAGGGCCTTGATTGGGCCATTAAGTTACATGGGTTTTATTGGCGCGGCACGAAGTGATTTTCCTCGCTCGTCATTTATACATTTAAGGTAATTTCTTAGCGATTTAGATCGGATCTGGAGCGCGCCCCCCCGCGAAAGTATTATTAAAATAAAACTAGGCAAAGTAAATTGTGTAACAAAACGATAAGGAAATTCGTTTTAAATTGAAATGTTTCTAACTCTAATTTGATCGAAATCTGGGGAGTTTTAATGACCCGAAACGCAAAGGCAATTAAACGAATAACATTTTATATCATCAACCTGCAGGACTACTTTCACTAACAACAAAATAATAAGAACTATTTTTATATTAACAGCGGGACCTAAAATTTAACCATAAAAAATACAAATTATAAATTGGATAATTCGTGTCCTTTTTCAGTTTTTAGAATTGCCGTTTACTAATAAAAAAAAATTATTTGTGGTATTAGTTTACGAGCGTCTGTATAGTATTACATTAATTATAGTATTTCACTAATTGAATCACCATTAATAATTACTAAAAATAACAATGTATGTAATTACATAATATCAATGAAATTCGTTTTCTTCCAGGTCAAATCGTTCATTTGGTTTCACGCATCTAAAAAAAAGAAAATCAGAAACGAGCAGTACGCATAGTATGGCAGCAGTTGCCAAAACCTTTACAAAGCTAGAATCACTCGAAGACAAACGCCGAAAGAAATCTACCGAAGAACCCACCCCTAACCCAAAATCCTTAGTTTTACCTCAAAAGAAACGTGTTTTACCCTCAAATGCTTCTAGTAGTCCGGTAAAGAAGAGCCAAAGACTTTCGTCGAGTCCGACGGACGAAAATAATGCAGCTGATGAAACTTTAATACGTGAAACTGAAGCCGCTTTAAAAAATTTAGGCAGCTGGCCCGGTACTAGAGGATCGTCTTACAGTACACAAAATGAAGAATCACCCGCTTTCGAGAATCTTTTCGATGAAAAAAAATCGGCCGTTAAAATGTCACCATCTTCAGCTTCTAATTCTAGCACAGACAACCCTTGTTCTCTCAAAAACGTAATAACCTTACGAGAAGATGAAAAATCAGATAATTTTAAAAGCAAAGTAGTCCGAATTAAACAGGAAGTTGTCGACGAGTCAAAAGAGAAAACTAAAAACGACTATAGACAACCCGATTTTAATGAATTAGTGGATGATTCTTCAAACGAGCTTGAAATTGACATGTCTGAAGCTGCTTCAGAGAAAAATGACTCGAGCGACAAATCAGATTTATCGGACAGTGGCAAAGATAAAAAGGGAGAAGATAATTTGAAATTTCAAGACAGACCAGGGTTTTCAGCATTTTCAAGACATACGCCTGGAACTTCTTTGCCATCGCCATTTTCTACTACATCCGCATTTAGACCACCACAACCCAGTAACAAGAATTTATCAAATTTAGGTAAGAATTTACAATTGTATTGAATTAAAGTTCTCTGAAAAACGATTTCAACTCAGGTCCATTTCCTGCCGAGGCCACCTTTGTTGGCTACCCCGGTATCGACCAAGCCACTACTTCAGAAGATAAGCCTAAAAATGTTCTTAAACCCGTTGAAACTGTGTCCGAAAGTATCCCTGTTAAATCTCCGGACGCAGCTAATAAACAATATACTATTTTGCAACCTGCCACTATGAGATCCAGAGCTGTAAAAGCATTGGAAGCTTCTAGGGAAGTAGTGCATAATCCTGAACCTGAAGTTAGTAAAGTTCCCGTTCCGACGGCTAGTGGAAGTTTGTCGCCGAATAGTATTGGAAGAGGTAAGAATTTTTAAATATAGCTTGTTGAAAATGTTAAGTGATTGCGTACAATTTTAAAAATGTAACTCCCCCAAACGCGCTTGAAAGATTTAGAGCTTTTATTCGAGCATTATCCAACATGAATCAACTTTTATTAAATCCCTCCAATATTGCACTATATAAATCATGTCTCGAAAAACCATTACACTTTATCCGTTGTGCATTACCGTTTTGGGGAACACAGGCAAGCTGAAAATCTTTAATTTTAAGACGCGAAATCGCCACAAATCATTTTCCGCGACTTGAGGTGCGCGCACCAATAATTCTAAATATTATGGCTTCGCGAAGGGTGCATGAATTTAAACCCCTTACTGCTAATAATACCAAAATTAAACTTCCTCCCTTCATTTCTTCAATCCAAACATCCCGTTTCCTACGACGACGACTATCCGTTCGGCCCCCCTTCTTTTTGGCAAAAGTTAATGGCGTTTTACCTTCTGTCTTTACCGATAGGAATAGGCCTGGATTTTTGATTGCGATGCATTTAATCACTGGATTAGAGTGCTTTGACGATTATTTTTTTTTTTTGAATATAGACTGATCAAATCAGAAAGTACAACTTTCTATCAAGCTATATAAACTGCTGCTTGAAAAGTCTAAAATATAATAGAATGGAAACAATTTGTATTTCATGCAAAATTCAAATTTATTGAAAACTCAGCGTAGTAGAGCGCTTTCGGCTTTCACCATTATCAGTATTACCTACTTGTCAGATGTTCCGACACAGAATTTAAAATTGTTGTCCTTTCACAAATTGTCGATCACATGCTTGCCTCCGGTCCTTGGTAAAACATAATACATTAACTTTTGAAGTAACTGCAAAAAATTCACTTCTCCGTGATAATGTCCAACCCATTTTCAATTTGACATAAATCATCGTCCTTAAATTTCTATCCATTCCAAAATACTTCGCTCTAGTGCATGCCATATCCACCATAACCAGTTCAGCCAGCCAGCCAAAACATACCCACTAAGTATACGGAGGTAATAAATATAATTTTCCGGTATGAAGGAGCAGCGAACTATAATTACGTAATGAGGGAAGCTCCCGTTATTTCCTTTCATCAAGGGTGCAAGGGAGGCAAAGGAGGACGTCGCGTCGCGCCAGTTGGCACTAACGTTTTGCGTTTTCGATTTGTGATGATGAATTATCGAAACGTAATTGTTAATTCGATTTATTGTATCAAATGAACTGAAATGGCATGGACATAAACTTACTGGAATCTTGAAAATCAAATGTTTATTTCTTATATGAAGAATCGAAGTGGAGTGGAAACCCTTTCTTATCCTAACGCAATTCCCCATTTAATACTATTACAATAAATCTGAGTCTGGTACACACACGTTCTTCTCTCCCTAGAAATTAGCATTCATTGCAAAGACACATTAAAGGGCGATTAGGCTAAGAAAAAGGGTTGTAACTAACGCCTTGCGGGCCCTTCCCTTACGTTTTCCGACCGGTAAAAAGACAGTTTTCACGCCAGTCACGTCCTAACGTTGACAACGTCAGCTTATAAGTTGTACCAAGTTTTGTTACCGTATAAAACTGGATGCTAGATGGCGCAGCAAGTGACAGTTACGTGATAGTAAATTCCAAAATAAATATGCAATAAAGGTGTTGATTTTGATTAGGTTTTGGATGTGTCATTACTGGTATTAAATTCCATACGATGTCGAAAAGCTTCTGGCTTTGCAGTTGTTACTAATAGGAATATATTTTGAGGTTCATTTACATTATTTTTTAATTTGTAACAATTACCCATTGACCATATAAAGAAATGGTGCTTCGTACCCGATTTCTATTTTCAAATTACTCTAAAAAAAAATTGTATAAGAATGTCTTAAGAGCTACCCAAAAGTTAAAGGTGTATATTCTGTAGGCCTCATTCTACTAATTACCCCAAAGTTTTGAATATCCTTGGAAAAACTTGTTCAAATTTACGAGAGGAACCCAAAAGATTTTTGAAAGTGTTCTGTAATGTGAAGTTTCAATTCCTTCCGGTTCAGAAATTCTTGTACTCCGTCCTGCATGGCCAAACCATTTTTAGTGTGAATACGGTGCATTGTACTCTGGCAGAAGAGAATGTGTGAATTTATTAGCAGTCAATGTCTTGTCATAATCGACCAGGCAGAGTGGAATCGGGTAACAGGCATCCTTGGTTCAAATCTCAGATCTAGTCAAGAAAATGTTATATCAGTTCTTCGCCGTCTTTTGGTTTGCATTCTCCATTGGTCTAGGTCCAAGCAGAGGTTCTGGTCGAATTATCTTGCTCTGATATTGCTATCTATTCCCTCTCTCCAACTAAGCTTAGGTCTCCATCTTTTTCGTTTTTTCCGTGGTGTCCAATTCACTGCTCTCGTTGGTATACTGTTTTTATCCATTCCTCGAACGTTGATTAGTTCGGGTGTTCACTGGTACTTAGTCATTGCCCATAATTTATTGTATTCTCTTATTTCAGACTCTGTCCAGTTTCGATGTTTTAGGATTTCATTTCTGTGGCTTCAGGGTCTCGAAGGTTCTTTCTTTCAATGGTCATAACTAAGAATGCCTTCAGTAAGACTGTGTTCGTTTATCTTTGGATAATATTCCATCGAACACTGGGTTATAGATTGTTGCTGTTGCTCCAGGCCTAAGGGTCGAATTTATAGTCGCTTTTTGAGGGTTCCTTAGACCTTAAGGAAGCCTTGAACGTTTAGAATTGACATAACTAACTTGTCACATAGTAGCAAGTGTCCATTCTACACTCACGACCTTCAAGGAACGACTATAAATTCGACCCTAAGTTTGTTCTCTTGTTCTCCACAATATGTAGGTATTTGACTCGCACTATCCCAAAAATTAGGTATATTCCTTAGCACGAAACTCCAGATCCGTCGGAAATGTCTATGCTGAAAGCCATCTTCTCAAGGATCTTCTTTCAGGGCAATATCCTGATAACTGTAGAACAAAAATTTCAGGTTTCTTGATACGTTACCAACGGCGTTTGAGTCTTGAATTCTACAAAATTGGGAGTTTTTGGGATAAAATATTCAGCAATCGAGGTAACAGGCCTCAGACGTCCCGAAATTATCTATATAATAAGTTGCAATAGTAATTAATTTGCGACAGCGTTTCTCAGGCGATATGTGACAACGGCTAGTTGAAACTTCGAACTGCTGTTCTAGAGTAAAATGTTCCAACTTCTGAGTCAGTAGTTAAGAAAAGTATTACTTCGTTATTATTAAAAGTTCAAAATTATTTCGTGACGTAAGTTAAACAATTTGTACACGTCCAGCAGTAACGTGGATGCTCTTTGCTCCTAGGTCTGCACTCGAGGCGCTGTGATGAAGAGACGTTCAGCGTCGTCCGTAAGCGCCGTGGCGCTAGTCCGCAGGTGCGATGTCCGATCCGCGCGCACCCGCACCATTCGCCATTCACGACTGCGGTTTATTTTTTTCCAAAAAAGATTTTTCTTGTGAGTCTCCACCCGACCCGTACGATAGGCTAATCGACCGTGGGGCGGAGCCGCCCCAAAGAACAGCGCATAAGTTTTATATGTGCTCTCCCTTTTAATTTGCCACGCCAGACGACAAAAAAACTACCCCCGTTTTGCCTCATTTTGCCTGTTTTTTGCCTATTTTGCGTACTTTTGGTCCTTTTAGTGGTAAACAAGTTGGGGTACGTGTGCCTCTAATAACTTTTATTAAAGAGGAAGAAAATCTCGACGCTTAAGTGCAAAATGCCCTGCAGTAACCTTTTTGTCGACATTTTGAAATCCATTAATGCTCTTAACGTCCAAGCTTGTTCACTATAATTAAGCGTTTTTACTCGCCTCGTATTAGAATGCATCAAAAAGTTTCAATTATACTAAAAAAATGTTCGATGAAGCAATGACGATGAAAGCGCTCGCATACCATTAGAAGCAGACATTTTTTTGATTTATTTCCATAAAACTTCATTACATTCTCTACAAAAAAGCTACCATCGATTTTGCATTATCCACTAGCATACGACTCTCCTTGTTTTGCAGAAGGCAGTAAATGTCCGACACCAGGTTGCACGGGCCAAGGACATGTGACTGGCCTCTACTCTCATCACCGAAGGTAAGTCACTATTTCATGTCTCATCTTTCACCAATCCTATTATTCCAAAGCCCTAAACTAATCGATCGTTTTATCGTTTAGTCTTTCTGGATGTCCTCGTAAGGACAAAGTTTCACCGGAAAGTAAGTTGAGAATGCATCTTAACTAAAAAGAATCATGTATGCCTGTTTAGTAACCCCCACATAACCCCCATTTCAAATTTAGCTCGCTTTTTATTATTTTAATTTTTTCCACTATCATTTTGCTTTTTATGATTTGCGGGGTAGAGAGCATTATTATTCCAATTTATTATTATTTCATGTAGTTATTTAAAATAGCTTTTCTCATTTTCGCGCAATTCTCCTCACTCCGTTAGATTTCGCCAAGGAATCAGTACTTAAAACGCATTGAGTATAATACAATTTTTTTATGGGCAAGACTGTTGTATGAATTACTGTGCAATTTAGCTTTATTGTGTGTGGTAATCAGACATCTTAAATATAAAATTATTTTTAGCTATTATTTGGTGTTTTTTTTTTCTTTATCTCTCTACCCTTTTGGTGTTTTAATTTGGTTCCAAATTTGTTCATTTGTTAAAATTTCTATATGATGATCCACACACTTGGTTCATACTCAATTTTTTAACGGGAAGTTTTAAAAAACTCCTTTTCAAGGACATTTACCGGGCCTATTGGTATTCGAACATGGATAAAAAGTAAATAACATTTTAAAGTTTTTTGTTTTCTGAAGCGCTTCTATAGAGTATTCAAGACGCCTAACACTACTGAAAATGGTACCAACTTCTTTATAGACCGAAAGAAAAATTTTAGAAAAGTAGTTTTTGATAAATATTCGTAGCTTCTCATTTTACCGATCAGTAAAATGTCAATATGTCAGTAAATGTCCAAAATGTATCAAAGAAAAGTTAAAATTACTGATTCTTTCGCGTAAATCTAGTCCTGGCCATGCATGAAACGATTCTAAAATGTCCGACTCCGGGATGTAACGGACGCGGCCACGTAAGTTCGAACCGCAACTCTCACCGGAGCTTGTCCGGATGTCCTGTGGCGGCTGCCAATAAACATGCGACTAGAGAACACAAACTTCAGACTAGACTTAAGAGTCCAACATTTTCCTTGCCCTCATTTGGTAAGTGCCTGGATGTGCTTAATTATTTGTGGTCTCTTGTTTTGGAGGGAAGTAAATCTAGATACGAAACTCAGTAGTATCTATAAAAAAAAATGTTTTACAGTATTTGCCGTCCTAAAGGTGACACAAACCTTGATCTAGATAATTTCATAATTACAACTCAAAGAATTTGTTTTTGGAATAATATTTCTTCTTTTAATTCTATAAAATATTTCAGCATGTCAAAGCGACTATACGTCATCTTCTTCCTCTTATGAGGGTGGCAAGAAAACTCCCCCGCCATCTGAAGACATAAAGCCGAATTATTTAGCCTCCACTTACCCTTCTACGCCATTACCAAGCACTTCCAGCCAGGAAGATAAGCCTAGCTCCGTGTATGACCAGTATTACAGTAGCAAAAACAATCTTATAAAACCGGATGTGATGAAAGTACCTAAAAGTGAGATACCCACAAGCAGTAGTTGTAATATTTCTGGTAAGTAATTGTCGGAAATTGATTTTTTTAAAATCGATTTATTAATGATTATCTCCAGGAGGTCCAAATAATCAAAACGATCTAATTGTTCCTAAAACAGAAATAACAACAGCTCCTTCGTGTAGATCTCCGACAGGAAATCTTAGATATGAACCATACATGAACCAAGATTCAAACTCGTCGTCGATATCTAGCATGGAAACTATGAATTCTCGAGGACCTCATCAATTACACCATTTAAGTCCACATCCTGGATATAGTATGGATCAACAATTATCACACAGGTCTCCCTATCACCATTCGCCAATGTCGGAGGAAATGTATCACAGAGAAAGAACTTATCAAGATATGAATGAACCTGTAACAACTATAGCAAGACCCGTCGTTACTTATTCGAATGATCTTGTTAATCGGTCATACGATTCTTCGTTAGTGAATTCGGCTAGTCACAGACCTTATGATCCTGGCACCAACAATGGATTTGAAAGGTATAACATTTGACGCTTTAAAATTATATATATTATTTAAAAATTGACTTGTGTTGTTGGTGCAGATATGACTCTGGCCAATGTGTTTCCCTTCAGCAGCCTTTGGGACCTCCGAGGGTCCCTCCACAGGGTATTTATGGTTACATGGAGGATTCACAGGATCACAGGTAAATACTTATTATTATTTTATTTATTTTTTGTGCCAATAAAATTGTTAAAATTCTTCATGCGTTCCCCAAAATAGTACATAGTTATGAAAACGCACTGCAATTTAGCATTACTCTTCATCTCGTAAAGGTTGTGAAATAAATTTTGCTCATATACGCTATTAGGGCATACGTAAAAAAAGCTGAAACTTGAAACTCGCACTTAGTTATCTAAATAGCCTTAACACTTACCTAAAAGATTCACCTCAGGAAGAGAATATTTATGAAAGTTGAAAATATGCATATCATTCGCGTTGGGTATAATTCTCAATTTTCCAATAAATCGATCACATAATTGTGGGGAAAATTATATTGTCGATAATGATTGTAGCTCTGACGATGTTTGAGTATTAGTCAACATAGTTTTAAAAAAAAATTATTTTTAATATATTTTTTTTTCAAATCTTGCGTCGTTAACGCCCGGTCTAAACCTAGATTAGATTAATTGAACGAAGATGGCGCGGAAGCGTCCTCTAATACTGCAACCTTGTCAGATTATTGTGGTATAAACGCCCGGTCTAACAGACCGTCTCAGCTCTCAGGAATGTTCCACTGATAAGCGTGCGTCTGACTCAGTACCTTCATATTTTTTATGACTCCAGTACCACAGAACCATTGAGTGCGACAAATCCTTGTTTTATTTTTGGGGTTGGGTAATCACAGACCGATATTAACTAATGGTAAAGTTTTGTTGTGTTAATTGGACAACTGCTGCAGGTAAAATTCATTGTTATAAAAATTTATATTTTTGTGTACCTAGTCAAATTAGCAGATTTTGGGTAATGGTGAAACAAATTAAAGACAAATGTTTAATGGTGAAAATTTGAAGAAAGTCTCATCCAATCTGACAATGGCAAGTTTTGAAACATCGCTCTACCATTGTGGATTTTCCAAGTTTTTTGATTTATTTCCAAAACATCCGGGTTTTTTGAAAACTTTTATGTTAGGCATACATTTTTCAAATGTATTCTTGTTTTTTTGATTTTCCGAAATATTCTCTATACATTGGCTAAGTTCGTTTTTGTCATCTTTTCCGTCGATTTCCTCCGAAATTTTGACAAGCACGTGATTTGTAAACTGAAACTGTCTTATCCAGTCACGTGCCTGTCAAAATTTCGGAGCAAATCGATGACAAAAACGAACTCGGCCTTTGTTGTTCAGTTCACAAAGTTTAAAATTTGATTTGCAATAATTATGTTATCCAAAAAAGCCATGCCATATTGTTTAAGACACTAACATAATTATAAATCAGTCAATAAATAAATGCTTACTAATGAGATATCATTACTAATCAACGGGTCTATAAATAAAACAATGAGCGAGTCTGCTATAGTTTTTTCTATGTTAAAAAATGCCAGTTGTGCTGTTTTTTTTTGATGATGATTTGTTGTCTTTTCTCTATCTGAAAAATCTCTGATGAATTTATTGGTGTTTTTTTTTTTTTTTACGGATATGCGCACTCGCAAGGAAATGTCCTATCACGCTCGAGAAGCGGCAAGTGCGCGGAAATGTCGGTGTATGTTGGTCTTGAAACGGTTCAGGTTGTAACCTGCAGGGAAAACCGTCGCAGGGAGTTTATTCCACAGCGATGCTGTTCTCCAGAGATATGAATTCTGATATAATGAGGTTCTTGGTACCTCTAGTTTGACAGTAAATTCATGGTTACCGTCTGTTTGACGGGTTCGCCTGGTAGGTGCTACTCTCGGTGGAATCATACGTGCCAACTCTTCAGAGCATTTTCCGTGATAGTACCTGTAGAAGAGAGATTGTGTGAGAAAGTGTGATTCCTCATGTCTGTTGAATTGGTTGGTATTCTTGAGAATCTTATTAGTTTTTAATTTTTTTCATTCTGAAAAATCTCTGTTGAATCTGTCGTAGTTCCCCATTCTCAAGGATAAAAATCTCTGCTGGATCTGGCTAGTTTGTTTTTCATTTGCAAAAATATCTGTTGAGCTGTTTCTCATTCTCAAGAAACTTTGGTAGATTTGTTGTTTGGTTTCTGATTCTTAAATATTTCGGTTAAATGTTCTCTTATTCTCAAGAATCTCTGGTGAATTTATTGGTGTGATTTCTCATTCTCAAAGATGTCTGTTTTGATCCTCATTCTTTAAAATCTGTTGTTAGTTTTTCATAATTTCATTCTAAAGAATCCCTGTTAAATTTGTCGTGGTTCTCCATTCCCAAAGAATGAAAATCTCTGTTGAATCTGGCTAGTTTGTTTTAAATTTGCAAAAATATCTGTTGAGCTATTTTTCATTTTTAAAGATCTCTGTTGGATGTTTCTCATTCTCAAGAATCTTTGGTAGATTTGTTGTTGGTTTCTGATTTGCAAATATTTTGGTTGAATTTTTCTCATTCTCAAGAATTCTGGTGAATTAATTGTGTGGTTTCTCATTCTCAAAGATATGTCTGTTGAATTGTTGTCATTCTTGAGAATCTGTCGTTTAGTTTTTCATTCTAAAGAATTGTTGGATCTGATAGCTGGATTGCAAGATTTATCGTTTACTTGCGTTTACTACTTTAAGGCCCGGTTTATACAACATCTAAACTTTTAGATAATGCAATCTGACGGATAAAAATTGACTCGTTATCCGCCGACCAATGAAATTATATGAGGTCCAAAATACTCCAAAATAATCAATTCAAGTTACAATAGCTTTAAAATGAACAAACCCAACTGAAAAACAACACATACTTAATACAAAAATGAAGAAGACAAGGAAATTCTATGAATAATTTTTCATTTCCTATAAAAATGTATTTATATTGACAATTTCTCAAAAAATTGATACTTTTTAAGATCATGTACAAAAATATGAACAGAATCATAAAGAACAAAATGGCGGCCATTTTTTTCCAACTTGCCATTGTAATATTTCATGGGACTTTTAATACCTATGTCATCGATGACCATGAAAACAATACATTTTCGTTGAAAAACCCTTGTTCCACTCCAACTGCCAATTTGACCACAATACTAGCATTTAGTTAACTGTTGAACTTTGAGGAGCAAGAACAAATTTAGTACCTACCAGAAAATTGCTGTTTTCTATTTTGCGGTGGTACCTAATTTTTTTTATTCAGGTCGGATACTTATGCAGGTAACACGGATTAAATGCTTAAAATAACGCACTTCTCCATGCGCATACAGAAAAGTAATTGAAACTTAAAAAATCTTACTTTTCAGGACTCGATACGAAATTGGTTTTAACAGATTTCGGACTCTTAGACGTTTTTATAACATTTCACCATATTAACAACCGAAGGTTGAAACTTTGTTCTTGATAGGACTTAATAAATTGTATTGTAGAGGTACGGTCGTTTGAATTCGTCGTTTTTTGCCACTAGAACTCACTTTACAAACAAAATAACAAGTTTTGTTGAACAACATATAAAATTTACTTATCACTTATCGAAACGCCTTTCTTATCTTCTTGTTATTGTATGAGTGCTGCATGCTGGTCCTCTTCTTTTTGTTATCGGTCTTCTTCTTTTTGTTTTACTCTGTGTCTTCGGGCTTTCTCTTGAGATTAATTTTTTTGTCTTGGTGTTTTCGAGCTTCTTCTTCTAGTCTTTTTTCATGCAAATTTTCCATGTCCGCCAACATTTGATTTCTTGATTCATTGCGGCGGTTTGCTGTCGTATATTTACCATAAACTACTTTGTATCTTTCTTGAAACATGATTTTAAATCTAAAATTCTGTAGCGAAGTCAGATTCTCAAATAAAAGACGATGTAATAGATGTTCTAGACAAATCACTCTGTGAACTTGTTTTCTGATGTCGAAACCAGTGATCATAGGGTCACTATTCTTATATCAGTCACAAGTTGATGTGTCGTGATATTTGGATGGAATTTAATTATGTTGGGGATACCGTAAAGCTGAAAACACAATGACAACTACAAGGTACAAGTGCCGAGAGACAAAACTATAATAATACATGTATCACTACAACCCAAAATAAAGGATACAGCAGACAGTTTACTTCTTTTTGACAGTTTACAATTAAAACTACAAATTTCTGAATTTTTGGAATTTTGTATCTTGTTTCTTGTATTACCTTGTATTTGTCATTGTGTCCTCATCCTAAGCAACATTTTTTACTATGGCCACAACCAAGGATCCTAAAGTTCATAGGTTGCCTGGTAATGGGTATCCCGATAAAGGCCATCCCAGACAACTTTGCATAACGCATAGCATGGCGCATAACCATACGTAATGGTCTATGCAAAACCAGACAAAACACACAAAACCTAAACCATAGGGCGTTCGACCAATCAAATTAAGGCAATCTTGTCATCCATCAACATTTATTTTGTAGGTTATGAGATGAGTTGTTTTTGTTTGTTCCGTTTGTGTTTATTTGATTGGAAATTTTGATTTTTTAATTTTTTCACTGTGAATTAGGTTTCGTTAGTTTAATTGTTTTCATAACAAAAACATAAATATTATTAAATATAATCATGTCATGTCAAAGTCAAAAATCACGTGATTTGCAGCGACGTATTTTGATTGGCCGCTCATAGCACAGCTCCATACGTTTTTCATTTTTATGGAAAATCTTATGTAAAAGCAATATGGCTGCTCCTGTTCAGCTTGTGATTGGTCGAATTCCTTATGCGCCTATGCTAGGCAATTATGCAGGTTTGTCTGGGATGGCCTTAACCCGTCTGAGGTGCCTTATGGAGATTTGCATTAGGTTGAGGCCCCCCAGATGACGTCATAAAGTTATCAGGCAACCTACCTCTCTCAAACAACCTTGGGCCACAACCATGTAGTGAATGACATGTGAAGCGATGTTAGCTATCAAATATTGGAATCTAATATCCAAAAGCAGAGTGACTATGGCAGATTTTGATGAACGAAATATCGATTTTCACGAAGTCGTCCAAGTTAAATCAAAAAATGTCAACCATTTTGATACCGGTCAAAACCTTGACGAAACGGCAGCACTCATATTGTGCAGTTTTCCATATTTTATACTATGTCATTTGACAGTTTTACCTTGTATGTAAATTCTAGAAAAAAAGACTCCAATCTGGTTCTTTTTCGTTTTAGGGTAGTTTATTGGTAATATAAAGCACTAAACAAAGTTATTGACAGATACTAACAGCTGTCGAAATATGACGCGTATGAACTTTGTTTTGTTTAATGTTTTATCATCGAAAAACTACCTTAAAACGAAAAAGAGCCAGATTGGATTCATTTTCCCTACTAAAACAAATGACAGGTTTTGATAGTTCTGTATTTTGTTTTTCAATTTTTAACTCAGAATTTACATCCAAGTTAAAAATGTCAAATTACATAATATCATAAAATATTGAAAACTGGAAAATATGAGTGCTGCCGTTTGCCAGGGCTTTGGCAGGTGTCAAAATGGTTGACATTTTTCGATTTACCTTGATCGATTTCATAGAAACCAATAATTTGTTCATTAAAATCTGCCATAGTTACTCTGCTCTCGGATATTAGATTCCAATATTTGACAGCTAACACCGCCTCACCTGTCATATTTACCTGGTTTTGCCCATGGTGTGTGATTCCATAAAAAATTAAAAATCTAAGTTAATTTTACAAATATGCTTGAATTTGAACAAAGTTATGTAAAATTGATTTGATTTTAATTAATTTTTGAAAGTCTTAAGGGCTGAAATAAAAAATTAAAAAAAATATAGAAATTATAGATTTTTTTCGAAAGAAAATAAAAAAAATCTTAGGAGGCTATGTTTTGGTATTTAGGCATAACTGTTAATTCCAAACAACTTTTCTCTATAACATTTTGCTGAATTTTCTAAAATAAGGGTACTTTACAGTACCAGCTTTGATATTGTTTGAGCTACCCTGTATGCTGTTTGACTTGCAACCATTCTAAGTGCACCTAATATGATTATCAGACATGCACCAACTTTTGGCCTTGTTTGTATTTGGGTTGTGCTATTACTAAAAAAAAATCCCATATGTTGCACACTTAAAAAATCACACTGTAGATATATTTCCATTGCACGAGTTGTATTTTATGAGAGAATTTCATGAATCAAAAATTTAAATTTTTTGTCAAAAAATGTCAAAACACCAGTTCTCGCATCAGTTATTATGCAATTATCCGATAATTTGCACTAGTGCAAATTATCGCGTAATTCCAATCTGATTGGTTCAAATCAACAATCAAAACATGTCAGTTTATTGTTGGAATGTCAGTTTTGACAGATGTATGAAATTCTCGTATGTAATAACCACAAGAGGTTTCAGGATTACCGGATAGTGCAAATTATCGCGTAATTCCAATCTGATTGGTTCAAATCAACAATCAAAACATGTCAGTTTATTGTTGGAATGTCAGTTTTGACAGATGTATGAAATTCTCGTATGTAATAACCACAAGAGGTTTCAGGATTACCAGATAATACTTTTACCTGTCACGAAACGCGTTACGCAGCAACACCACGACTCCGAAGAAGGAGTAGTGTTGCTGGTAAAAGATTAGGTGATCCTGAAACGTCGAGTGGTATTCAAAAGGTTATACAACGAACTAAACTTCAATACACCAAGCGCGATAATCCCAAAAGGCTTATCACTCGTTAAGCCTCTCGTGTCACATGGGTATAATGCACACTGAGTTGTATAATCGAATGTAATACCACAAGAGGTTTCAGGAAAACCGGATAATACTTTTACCTGTCACGATATGCGTTAGGCAGCAACACCACGACTCCGAAGGAGGAGTGGTGTTGCTGGTAACGCGTTGAGTGTCAGGTAAAAGTATTAGGTAATCCCGAAACATCGAGTGGTACCTATTCGGTATTCAAAAGGTTATACAACGAACTAAACTTCAATACACCAAGCGCGATAATCCCAAAAGGCTTATCACTTATTAGGCTTCTCGTGTCATATATGGGAATAATGTACAGTGAGTTGTATAACTTTAATACACCAAGCGCGATAATCCCAAAAGGCTTATCACTTGTTAAGCCTCTCGTGTCATATGGGAATAATGTACAGTGAGTTGTATAATCATTATACACTGCGGCCGTCAAGTAAGGAATAAATTCAATAATTATTCTGCCGAGCAATTTTTTTTAAAATTCTCGAACGCGTCAATTTTATTTTTTGTCGAGCATTTTTTATAAAATGAAATTATTATACAGGGTGGTCGCAGAAAAGCTGGACAGGTAGTAACTTAATTTTTTTAAATGGACACCCCAAATTTTTTTTACATTTTCGGATTTCTGATAAAATTCTCAGTGTTTTTCATGAAACATATCCTATACCTTATCTTCAACTCTTTCGGAAATATTGACAGTTGAAAATTAACTTTTTGCAACTTTGACAGGCTGTAAAACCTAAACGGTTAATTTTAGAGGAAAACCGATTTTACATTCCTACCTTAGATTTTCATAAACTATTATTTGACACCAACTTTGAATTTATCCGGAGATTAAATTTACCTGGAAATTTTAATCATAAATTAAATTCAAAGTTGGTGTCAAATGATAGTGTATAAAAATCTAAGATAGGAATGTGAAATCGGTTTTCCTCTAAAATTAACCGTTTAGGTTTTACAGCCTGTCAAAGTTGCAAAAAGTCAATTTTCAACTGTCAATATTTCCGAAACAGTTGAAGATAGGTATAGGACATGTTTCATGAAAGAATTTTATCAGAAATCCGAAAATGTAAAAAAAAATTGGGGTGTCCATTTAAAAAAATTAAGTTACTACCTGTCCAGCTTTTCTGCGACCACCCTGTATAATAATTTTATTTTATAAAAAATGCTCGACAAAAAATAAAATTGACGTGTTCGAGGATTTTTAAAAAAATTGCTCGGAAGAATAATTATTGAACTTATTCCTTACTTTACGGCCGCACTGTACACCATTGATAATCTGATATAGAAAAGTCATCTGATAAAATTGATTCGTTAACTCTTTTGAATTCCGCTGATTTAGGGTATTATACTTATAAAAATATGACAAATGATATGCGATTCTCTCTAGAATTTTGTTTAGGGTTCTCCTTTCGTAGGGGGCCCCGTAGGATTTTTTGTGACGTTTGAGAGTAAAGTATTTGATTTTACAACAGCTCCAAAGACAATGATTAAAAATATTGCTTCTTACTTAACTCTCCCTGTACATTTTGATAATATCTACATTTTTTCTATGAACATTGAAAAATAAACAACTTTCGTCATATTTTACCTTTGCCGAAAACGTCACTTTTGTCACTAGTGATAGAATATCCCATAACGTTAACTGTCGTCACTAGTGACAAAAGTAAATTATTACAATTTTACATGCTATATACATTCCTCTAAATCTACTTATAATTTAATTCTGTAATAAAAATCAAAATAAATAAAAAAACATAATTCAACACAAAATTATGTGAATTTTTCATTATTATAATTCAATAAAAGCGAAAATATTTATAAAATTATTCAGCGCCATCTATCAATCCCTCATTGAATAGCTAGTCCGGAGGATGTTTAATTGTAACATGGACATAGAAAAAGTAGGTATTGTGTTTTACTCGTCCAAAATCATTTTTTGCAACTCGAAAACATTACCGCACTGTTTTCTCGTTGCAAAAAATGCTGTTTTTGTCACTCGTTATCAGTATTATTCCGGAAGGTACCAGGTACCTACGAACATCAGCTGGCATTGTTAGAATTTTCTTTTCCAGTGTTTTTTTCCCCTGGAATCTTTAATGGCGACATGGTAATTTTATTTGTTAGGTACAAGGGGTTTGAAAAAAGTTAAAAGAACGCAAAAATTCAAATTTCTGACATTCAATTTTTCTTTCTGACGATAAATTCTAAAAATTTAGATAAATCTGGACAATTGTTGTATCTACACCTACCGTCTACCTGTAAAGGTGAAGGCTGCCGGTGGGGGTGTCAAATTATAACCAGATGCCCTGTACCTATAGGTATAGAATCAGTAAATTTTTGGATTTTTTTAAATATCTTTTAAATATCTTTTTTTTAATTATAATTCACTCGTAAAAAAAATAACCATGAAAATCAGCAAAATAGTCGCAAATCGTTTTCATATAAAAATGGATTTCTCAAGCAATAAAACATGGGTACTGACATCGTTAATTGGTTTTGTCGTTATCGGGGACCATAAAGCCTACAGAAATGCAAGATTATGTTTCATAGGACGCGATAAGGACCCTATCGATTGCTCCCTGTACCAGTTTTAGGTTTTCAAGGTATTTAGTGCCCATTACCGAAACTACCCATATTTCCTGCACTAAAATGTTTTTCTTATTTACCCATAAAATATAAATAGAGCGTTCATGAAATAAACAATTTTATGCGCTCCGAGCCCAGCAGTTTTCTTTCATCTGCTGGTCGGAGAAGGTGCGACTTCTCTGTATCATCTCAATCTTCGTACCAATAGTTAAACCAACTCAGATCTCAGAGCTACATTCGCCTTCGTTAGTTACGGAAGCTAGTTTTTTCCACTGTTATTGTGAATTCACCCAAGTAAAATGATTCGTTTGTTAAAACGTAGATATGAACAAGAAGCAGCTGCAGCTGCAGCTCAGCAGCACCAATTAGCAGTGGCAAATGCTCAAAGTATGCTCAAACAGGAGGACCAAGAAGTGCCAACTGGACCTTTGTATCCCAGGTAAGAATTGTTTATATTTATTATGAACATAATTCCTTACAGCCTCAATTTTGATTTACTCTATTTTGTTTAGTTCCTTTTCAAATCAAAAAATTTAGGATATTTAATTTTTTTTTAAATAAATTTCGAACCTTTCTCTGGTAACTTGATGTTAAATTCAATTTTTATCGAAAAAAAAATCGATCTTTAATTCCATTTTTCTCATTGACGTAAATTTTGCCACACAACTTCGTCATTTTCGATCTGATTTTGACGTAGAGCCAGGGCAGTCGGTCCTGAATTCAAGCCGATTGATTTTTCTAGACATTTCAATGAAGCAAAATCGGAAAATCCCGGAAACTGTATTTTTTCTCTCTAATTTCAAACCTTTTCCTACCTAATCGCTTTTGAAATTTCAAACCCAAATTTTCATAAGTTTTCATCGAAAAAAATAAATAAAACGTTTCTCAATGTCATTTTTCTCAAACTAGACTAACGTAAATAATTATGCCTCACAATTCCGTCAATTTCATTCTGATTTTGAAGTAGTTAGGCTTTAAGTATCAAATTTTCTATAAATTTCTATGTCACGATTTCAATGCAGCTCCGATACTTTTGCAACTGCCAAACTCGAGACGAAACTTCAAAATCGGAAAATCTTATACATTCAATTTTTTTTCTGTTCGCTTTTAAAATTTCAATCCAATTCTTCCGGGAATTCTTTCTAAATTTTTCTCGAAAAAATAAATGTTCCTAAACGTTATTTTTGTCAAACTAGACATTGACAACTTTGTAAATTTAAATCTGATGTTGAGGTAGTTAGGCTTAAATTCAAGCCATCAAATCTTCTATACATTTCTGTCATGATGCCATTGCAGCTTCAATAATGTTTTGCAATTGCGAAACTTCAAAATCCGGAAGTCTTAAAAGATCTATTTTTTTTTTCTTAAATGTACAATCTTCCTCTGTTCACTAGTATAATTTCAATTGAATTCTTCATAAATTTTTCTCGGGAGAAAGGATGTGTATATTTTTGCAAACTAGGCATTTGACGTAAATTTCCCTCAAAACTTTTGCAACTGCAAAGCTTCAAACCGGTTTCTTAAATTTCAAACCTTCCTCTGTTCACCTGTGAAATTTAAATCCAATTTTTCATACATTGTTCTCAAAAGAAAGAAATACCCTTCAATGTTATTTGACCTCACAACTTCGTCAATTTCAATATGATATTGAAGTTGTAACGCCTGCAAATTCAAGCCGTTGAAATCTTCTATCTATATTTCTATCTCACGATTTCACTGCAGCTTCAATACCTTTGCAACTGCAAAACTTCAAAATCGGAAAATCTTGAAATTTCACTTTTTTCGTCTCAAATTTTAAACGTCCCAGTGATCACTACTTGTGAAATTTCAAAGCTAATAAAAGGAACCTTAATGTCATTTATCTCAAACTAGACATGACTTAAATAATTGTGTCAACTTCCTTAATTTCAATCTCATCTTGACGTAGGCTTGATTCCAAGCCCATCCTCTATAAATCTTATATAATTTCAATGCAGCTCAATAGTTTTTGCAGTTACCAAACTTTAAATTCAGAAAATCTGAGATATTAAATTTTTTTCTTAAATTTCAAACCTTTCTCTGTTCACTTGGGAAATTTAAAAATCGTATTCTTCATACATTTTCATCGAAAAAAAAAAATAGAACTTTCCTCAATGTCATTTTTCTCAAAATAGACTGACGTAAATTATGCCTCACAGTATCATCAATTTCATTCTGATCTTGACGTGCTTAGCCTTAAATTCAAGCCAATCAAATCATCTATAAATTTCTATTTCACGATTTCAATACTTTTCCAAATGCCAAACTCGAAAGGAAACTCCAAAAACGGAACATCTTTTAAATTCAATTTTTTTTCTTAAATTTCAAACTTTTTTCTGTTTGCTTTTAAAATTACAATCCAATTCTTTCGAGAATTCTTTTTGCATCTTTCTCAAAAAAATAAAAAATGTTCCTCAACGTTATTTCTTTCAAACTAGACATTGACGACTTTGTCAATTTCAATCTGATGTTGAGGTAGTTAGGCGTAAATTCAAGCCAATCAGATCTTCTATACATTTCTGTCACGATGCCAATGCAGCTTCAATACCATTATGCAGTTGCGTAACATCAAAATCCAAAAATCTCAGAAGTTTTTTTTTTTGTTCTCTCAAATGTCCAACCTTTCTCTGTTCACTTGTATAATTTCAATTCAATTCTTCATAAAAATTTCTCGGGAGAAACGATGTGTATTTTTTTGCAAACTAGACATTCGACGTAAATTTTTCCTCGAAGCTTCAATACTTGTCTCGATACTTTTGCAACTGCAAAACCTGAAAATCGGTTTCTTAAATTTCAAACCTGTGTTCACCTGTGAAATTTGAATCCAATTTTCCATACATTGTTCTCAAAAGAAAGAAATGCCCTTCAATGTGTTTTTCTCAACCTATATTGATATAGACTTTTTCTCACAACTTCATCAATTTCAATATGATCTTGACGTTGTTACGCTTAAATTTAAGCCGATGAATTCATCTACAAAGTACCCCGCAATATTTAAATGGAAATTGGTTACCCGTGATATTTGGATGAAATTTAAATATGTTGTTGGGGATGCCGTAAGCACCATTTTTTACCATGGGCACAACCCTGTATATATGACAGGTGAGGCGTGGTTAGCTGTCAAATATTGGAATCTTATATCCAAAAGCAGAGTCACTATGGCAGATTTTGATGAACAAAAAATTTATTTCTACTAAGTCGACCAAGTTAAGTCGAAAAATGTCAACCATTTTGACACCTGTCAAAACCCTGCCAAATGGCAGCACTCATCTTTTCCATTTTTCAATATTTCATGATGTCATTTGACATTTTTAACTTGTATGTAAATTCTGAATTCAAAAATTGAAAAAAATAAAGACAGAACTGTCAAAATCTGTCATTTGTTTTAGAAGAAAAAAATACTTTAATTTGATTATTTTTTGTTTCAAGGAAGTTTATTGGTGATAAAATGTTAAACACAGTTTGGGTATGTCACATTTTGACAACTGTCAGAGTCAAAATGTGACATGCATGAACTTTGTTTAATGTTTTATCACTAATAAACAACCTTGACACAAAAAAGAACTAGATTAGAGTATTTTTTTCTACTAAAACAAATGACAGGTTTTGACAGTTCTGTCATTTTTTTTCCAATTTTTGAATTCAGAATTCACATACAAGTTTAAAATGTCAAATGACATCATAAAATATTGAAAATGGGAAAAGATGAGTGCTGCTGTTTGGCAGGGTTTTGACAGGTGTCAAAATCGTTGACATTTTTCGACTTAACATGGTCGACTTAGTAGACATCGATACTTCGTTCATCAAAATCTGCCATAGTCACTCTGCTTTTGGATATAAGTTTCCAATATTTGACAGCTAACCACGCCTCACCTGTCATATATACAGGGTTGTGCCCATGGTAAAAAATGGTGCTTACGGCATCCCCAACAACATATATAAATTTCATCCAAATATCACGGGTAACCAATTTCCATTTAAATATTGCGGGGTCCTTTCTATCTCGCGATTTCAATACAGCTTAAATACCTTTGCAACTGCGAAACTTCAAAATGGGTAAATTTTGGGATTTCACTGTTTACTTGTGAAATTTCAATCGCATTCTTCATAATATGTATATTTTCCTCGAAAATAATAAAATAAAACGACCATCAATGTAATTTTTCTCAAACTAGACATTGACGTAAATAATTGTGCTTCACAACTTCATCAATTCCGATCTCATTTTGAAGTAGTTAAGCTCAAATTGAAGCTGATTCAAATCCTCTATAAATTTGTATCGCGGAATTTCAATGCAGCTTCAATATATTTTGTGCAACTGCGAAACTCCAACATTGAAAAGTCTTGGAAATTTCATAATTTGAAACCTTTCTCTGTTAACTTGTAAAATTTCAATACAATTTTAGATGCATTTTCCTCAAAAAAAAAAAAACATCTCCTATGTAATTTTTCCCAAACTAGATATTGACTTGTCTATATTTTAGTATATCTAGCTCAAAAACTACGTCAATTTCAATCTGATCTTGACGTAGGCTTAGATTCAAGCGGATCAAATCTTCTATAAATTTCTGTGTCACCATTTCGATGCAGCTTGATACTTTTGCAACTGCGAAACTTCAAATTTCATTACGATTTCAATGCAGCTCAATAGTTTTGCAGTTGTGAAATTTCATAATGTAAGCTATTAAATTTTTTTCTTAAATTGCGAACCTCTTCCTGTTTAGTTGTGTAATTTAAATCGTATTCCTTATACATTTTCCTCGAAAAAAAAATATAACGTCCCTCAATGTCATTTTTTTTCAAAATATACATCGACGTGAATTTTGCCTCACATCACAAGTTTGTCAATTTCAATCTGATCTTGACGTAGTTAGGCTTACATTCAAGCTGATCAAATCCTCTATAAATTTCTATGCCACCAGTTCAATGCAGTTTTAATATTTTTGCAACTGCGAAACTTCAGAATTTCATTACAATTCGTCACACTTTCATCGAAAAAAATATAGGGTGTTCCAAAATTAATGCACCAAATTTTTATGGCATATTCTACATCGAAAATAAGCCCTAGTTTCCTTTATAAACATATGTCCGGAAACGCTTCCTTTCCGAGATACACGGTGTTGAAATTCTAAGAAAAAAATTATTCTTTTATCATAATTTTCAAACCACTCTCTGAAATTTTGTACACTAATTTTAAGCAGAAAAAGACATTTTTCGATGTGAAATATTTAAATCACAAAAATCCAGTGACGTGCGTACCAGATTTGTATGGAATATTTTTTAAGCTAAAAATGGTGCGCAACTGCTTTTTCCGAAAATAAAAATAATTTTTGAAATCCCCATTCAATTTTCAAGAAATCTGATCTCCTCACTTTTTTCCGAACGATGCACCATTTTCCAGTAAAAAAATAAAAACCTATTTTGATGCATGGCGAAGTCAAAATCATGATAAAAATGATAAGCATTAAACACCTCAAATTTCAAATTATTTTTGTGAAGCTTTTATTAACAAAAAGTAAAATTACTACTGGTTAATTCCGTAATACTAGTTTAAAGTATGAACCGTTCTCTCCCACACAAACTCGCAGACGTTTCACAAAATCGTGTCTTATTTTCTCCTAAATGTTGGGTATTTGTTTAATTTCCTCAGCAGCAGCAAGGATTCATTGTTGTAGTTGGTCGCGAGTTCTAATTGGTACCGCATAGACACGATCTTTCATGCCTCCCCAGAAAAAAAGTCCATAGCATTTAAGTCTAGGGAACGAGGGGGCCATGCTGTGTTGGGAGAATTATTACCGTCCTGGATAATTTTCATTCAACCAATCGGTAACAATTCAGCCCCACCATCGTGCATAAAAATTAAATCTTGTCTTATCCTCAGAGGGACATCTGCCATAAGGATTGGTAGTTCATGCTCCAAAAAATACTGGTAAATTTCAGAATTCAACCGAGGGGGCTAGAAATGTGGATCGATGATGCAATCTCCTACGATTCCTCCTCAGCAATTAATTGAAATTCTATCTTGGGAACGAGTTTGTCTTATAACGTGTGGATTTTCCATGGTCCAGCAATGAAAGTTGTGAAGATTCAGTATACCATTTTTAGTAAAGCACGTTCCTGAACTTTTTGAAAATAATAAGGCTTCAGTAACTGTTGTTTAACAAACATGTAGATTCGTGTTTTGGGAATTCCAAGTTGCAGTGAGATGCGTCTAAGGCTTATTTCGGGGTTTTCTTCAATTAAAGCCAAGATATTTTCTTTTTGTTGTAGCGCTAACAAACCACGTCTTTTTGCATTGGGTCTCCTTGTAACTACAGAACCCGTCTCCATAAGTTGCCGGTGTACAAGCGAAAACATCGAGTGATATGGGAGTATTCGTTGGGAAAATCGGTTAGCGTTCAGTTTCCGCGCGAGACGTGAATTTTCACGAGATACTACTAACTACTAACTGCTGTGGAAAAAACTTTGCTTATTTATTGACAACGCCAGCAATCTCCGAGTACTTCATTTATTGTAAATACAACCAAATTTTGTTGATAAAAACTTCACAAAAGTAATTTGAAACTTGAGGTGTTTATGTTTAACATTTTTATCATGATTTTGGCTTCGCCATGCATCAAAATGGTTTTTTATTTTTTTACTGAAAAACGGTGCATCGTTCGGAAAAAAGTGAAGAGAACAAATTTGTTCCAAATTGAATGAGGACTTCAAAAATTATTTTTATTTTATATTCCATACGAATCTGGTACGCACGTCACTGGATTTTTTTTTTGATTTAAATACTCACATCAAAAAATGTCTTTTTCTGCTTAAAAGCAGTGTACAAAATTTTAATGAAATATCTTGAATGGTTTGAAAAGTATGATGAAAAAATAGTTTTTTTCTTAAAATTTCAACACCCTGTATCTCGGAAAGGAAGTATTTCCGCCATGAAAATTTGGTGCATTAATTTCCGAACACCCTCATCAAAATAGTCTAGGGAACAAGAAATATCTGTCTTTTAATTTAAAGACAAAACAACTAACAAGATAACGCGGGTATTAGGTAATTATTGAACAAATCGTATCAAATTTACCATATCGGTTTTTTTGCAAGCTTGTTTAGTTTAAATATTTTATAATAAAATCAGCTAAATATTTCTGGTAAGTATAGGTATTATCGTGTTCCCTATACCATTTTGATGTGTGTATTTTCTTCAATGTAAGCATTGACGTAAATAGTTTTGCCCCCTAACTACGTCAAATTCAATCTGATCCTAACGCTGTTACGTTCAAATTGAAGCCCATCAAATCTTCTAAAATTTCTTATTTATGATTTCAATGTAGCTTCAATATCCAAATCCAAATATATTTTTTTTTTTCAATCGCGGCTCCTAGCCTCTATTTATTCCAAAAATTTTCAAATTACTGATACTATAGCAATGATAATATAGGTGATATAATATATTTCCGAAATGCAAAAATTCCTACTAAAATTGGCATATTTTTTATAGAATGTAAAATTTCATTCCCAAAAATATCCAGCTTGTTGGAAATGTTTTTCGTAATAAGCGTCCTTCCTTCCTAGGTACGCTCTAGTTAGTAACTGATTTTACTAAGTATACCAATACGACATTTCTAAAAATAAAGGCTTTACATTTCTAATACAAAAAAATATCTTTAATTTTCAGACCGATGTACCAATACGATGCGACGAGCGGAGCCCCCCTTCCGGTGGGGTTTTCCGCTATCAACCTCTCCGTAAAATGTGTGACGACGGCCCAGGCGGTGCAAATGAAGGGTAGTGGGCCCCATACGTCCCCAGGGGGCACTGTTATTGATTTAAGCACGTCCAGCGTCACGACTACAAGCCCACAGGTAAGCGTCGTATGTCAAAAAAAATTATTATTACCCTCTCTCGTATAATATTGGGTCAGTGGGGATAAATCGCCTTTCCCCCCCAATATGAAGATTACATTTGCGAGCACGGGAGGGTGGCTTTAATTCTGATTAGAAACAGAGCTGTGAATGTATAAAAGGGGGAGGGTTGAGGCGAGTTGATTATTTTATTTTGATAAAAGCATGGGGATGAGGCTGCAGGGGATGGATTTTACCAACATTCAGTTCCAAGGCTATATAGGTTTCAATTTCAAGCCATCTTGTCAAGAAAGAGAAATCACATATTTTTCCTTTTAAAAATAATGAAATCTTAAAAATGGAAACAATAAACAATTTCTCCTGTTGTCCAAGGTGGCCAGTGGCCACCTGTTAGCTCTGAGCTCAATTACCATATCGCACTTCGTTATACCGCAGCGCCCTTATTTATTCACCGAAATGACCGCATTTACGTCGTTTTAAGTAAGTTATAGCTTACACCTTGACCAAAGGGGTTAATTTGTCCGGTTTATTTATGGAAGGTTCGTCCCGTTTTATTTGTTTTATCTCTTTTATTTCGTCAGCTTCATACATTTTGTATTTGATTCCCTTTAAAAACTGATACTCCATTAGTCTCAATTTGACACAGGGACTTAAGATCACTCAATTGCAATTAAAATGCAGGATCATTGAAGCTTACGTAAAAAAACGTAGATTCACACCGAATTCGTCATTTAGGTTATGGTCCGAATATAACCAAACGTTAACCAAAGTAACCGAATTGGTTGACAGGAAATAAAAAATAATTGACAGAAATTACAGATAAAACCAACAAAACCAACATCCGATGGCCGGTAACTATTTTGACATTTGGTTAACAGATTTCAGGAAACCAAGGTCCAAAAGTAACCACTTTTGCAAGAACCAGAGTAATTTGATTACTTCCGGACCGTGAAATCACAACTCTGGTTATATTCGGAGCACAGCCTTAAATTAGATTTCACGTTACGTGTAAAGTGGCAAACCTTACCGGAAAAACCTGAGAATCTTTTTAAACTGGCTTTTGAAAAAGGTCCATATACCTAAACGGACAAGGCAATTGACCAGGGTTCGTATTTCCGAATATTCTAGGATGCGAAATTTGACACGATTTCGAATGCTCCCCATTTAATTTACATTGCTGTCAGTCAAAATTCGTATACCAAATGTACTCGAATGAATTCAAAAATGCGACACAGGAACTCTTAGATAGAAACAGATCTCTCGTTCAAACTCACCCTTACCCACAAACTCGGTGACAAATATAAAAGAAATTTAATCCGAGATGTCTCTAGACTTAGTTTTTTACTTGAATACAAACATACAAACTCCTGAATAGTCGCGCTTTGTTGTCAATATGAACAATCTGCTCTTTTCCTATCCAAATTTCCACATTCTGAATTGGAATTTGCCAGAACAACATATTATTAGCGATATTTTTTGAATATTGTTTTGATATTTTATTTTATTTTAGACTGGCCTTTTGCAGGTGGCATACAGTTCGCCACATTACGGCGGTCAACGCGTAGGAGGCAGTCCCCAAGCGGCAGCCAGTCCCCATTTATCTGCTAGCCCCCAAGTTCCAAGTCCTCAGGGCCAAACATTGGATCTCAGCGTCAGCAGATTATCGCATAGGTAAGCATATGAAAATTTCGAAAAAAAAAAAAAAAAAAAATTTAAACAGGCCCAGTAGCTACCTACAGCCCTGACCAGTTTATAATTTATTTTCCATTGATTTTGGATCTGTTTTTCTCAAAATCTCTTTGAGAATACAGAATTATAGCTTATACCTAGCCTAAAAATACAGCAACTTATTTCTCTGTTTCCAAAATTAGGTTTTGAAAATTGTTGGTAGAAGAAAGGAACGAAGTTTCTAGAAACTAAATACATACATAGAACTGAAAATAAAGAAAACTGCCAAAGCTTGATCGCCCTATTTGTTTTTTCTTTGCAGCGTCCGACCTTTTGGTGCAACCGGCCCTCCAGGGGTCCTAGCACCAGCTCCAGGCTCTGGATATAGCAGAGAGTCAACACCGGATAGCGGAGGATCGCATTACATGGACGCATATAGTAGAGAACCAACCGGTAAGCATCATCAAACTTGTCCAATGCAAATTTTTTATGTTGGCTTATTGAAATTTAAGCCTATGGATCGATGAGTCCACATCCGGGCTACAGCATGGCAGCTGTCGCATCTGACTACGCGTCGAATCCTTATTCGGCACCGTATCCAGCACCTGCAGGGTATCCGTGTGGACCTGGAGGGTATCCGGGAGCAGTAACCACCGGAGGGTACCCTGTACCACCTGGTGCGTATTCCCCTGGAGCTTGTTACTCGATGCCTCCGCCTCAACATTCTTTGCCTCAGCATGACAAGGCGCCAAAAGACGGGTGAGAATCATTTAATTGTTTAACCAGTTGATATATAGGTCTGACTCTGCCAGGCAAAGAATTGTTTTTCATTTAACAGAATAATCTATAAATAATGAATATTTTGTGTACGATCAAGGTCTAGTTATAACTTCAGTCAATCGCCTTTGCTGCGCTATCGCCACTTTTCAGGAATAGTACATAAAAATGGTTTGTTGAATCAAAAATAGAAAAATCTGGCGATGACAGGGTTTAGAATAGCATTTTTCCATTTTAGCCATGTTTCTGCGAAAAGAACAATTTTCTAGAGCAACCCACGAGTTGAGTAGAGACGATACAGACATTTAAAGATTACCATTTTATATCCTGTTAGAGAAAACAAATTAGCAGTTGCGGCCCAAATATTTTTTGGGGGGAGGTGTAAAAATTACTAATTCACTGTAATTTTTTTTTCTGAGGATGCAACATAACGTTGTCTTACCTATCTATTTTCTCGGCCTTTTGATGCAGGTTTGTTTCTTTCAAATATTGTATATGTTCAGAAAAAATAGGCGAGTATAGATGATTATCTCAAAAAAAGGTAAGTAGAACTATTTTAAATACGGTCTTGGAAGAACATTATCTCAGCTTCAATATCGCAAAGGTGACAATTTTTCAAATGGCCGCCAGTGGACACCCCATGGGAACAGAAGTTAAATAAAGTTCGCTGCTGAAGGACAGTGAAGGTTTTAGCAAAGTTTTTCTCAGTGGCGGCTCGTCAGAGTAGGCAAGGTAGGCGCCGCCTACCCTTAAATATTAGTGTTATTTTCAATAATTTTGAGTCACAAAGTCATAACAAAATCATGAAAATCTTAATTTATTATTATAATTTTGAATATATAAATTCCTACGGACTTAAATAAACCTAAAACTAAAGAAAAACACAAAAACGGGACGTGTAATAGTGTAGCGAAAAATATTACAAGCTCAGTTTGCTTTTTCGTAGTATTTAAGTCTATGGTTTTGACGAAATTCCTTCGAAAATGAAACCTAGAGGTTTGATATAGAAATAGTTCCGACAAAATAAGGACCACAAATTTCAATGTGAATTTTGTGATTTTGTGTAGGTACCAAAAAATGCAACTAGACAAACAAAACATATACCGTAAAAGCAGAATACTTTGTGACAGATTTTGAGGTTTTTTGAAATTCTCAAACATTTATTTGCCAAATAAAATTCTAAAAAAAAATACACCATGTATATCCGTTCTTTAGCTACAAAATGGCAATTCTGGAAAATTGAAAAAACAATAATAATTCAGCTTTTTTTTAATTTGAAAGTGTCCCAATTTTACCCCGTACTGCGAGGTAACTTTGTGACAGTGCGTTTTTACAATAAAAACATAATGTATCCCCGGCATTTTTAGTCTGAAACTATAGGAAATCTCAACAAATATTTGCTTGATAATTTTCTGATATTAAGAACACGGGTATATACTGATTTGGACATTTCAAACTTTTATTGTATCATACGATATAGTATTTATCACTTTCATATCCAGCCAAAAATTGGGATGTGAACTCCACCAATAGGAAGTCGTCTACATTAGAAGACATGTCGATCCTTCAAGCGTTGTTTTAGGTTGAGCCTAAGTTTCTTCCATACTAATTATATGTCACAAAGTTACCCCGGTAGGTTCCTCTGTTTTGTTTAATGCTCAAAAAAAATGTGTCAAATTGATAAATTGTAAGCGTATTCACGTAGATATCCCGACAATTACCCAAGCAATGAGAAATTCTGATGAATTTTTCTGAGGAGTCTCCAAATTCTGATGTACAGTAGAAAGTTTGGGCGTTTCGAAAAAGTTGCAAAAACGAGATGCTCCCTTCGTATCAGGCTGCTAGTTATGAAAGGAGCGTGCGTACTAGCTTGCCGAGCGGTTTTTGTAGTGAGTGAGGTATATATGTGCTTCCACCAGCCGGTAAAAAAATTTGGCTTCGCGCGCGGAATTTAAAATGTTTGGCTAATTTGAATTGAATTTCACAATGTCACAAAGTTTCCCCCTCATCACAAAGTATCCCCGTTTTACGGTACTTATATCTTAACATGTTTAAAAGCCCCAAATGATGTTAAAAAGCTATATTCTTCGAAATTCTCCAAAATTCTCCAATGTTCCCGAATATTCTCCGAGAAAATTTTCTCAAAATAAATTCTCGAGAATTTGCCATCTCTAGCTGCACACAGCTGGAATGCGGCTTTATTACACTGAAATCGTAAAATCTAAAAATTTTGCTGACAACCTGAAAAAAATTGAAGCAAAATAGTGGTTTATTGACCAGCACAATTTTTTTCGTTCTGAAACACCAAGGAGAATACACACTCTAAGGAGTGCTTATCGGCCTCGTTTTTGATAATCGCCGCCATATTGGTTTTCAACTGTTTTCAACCATTGCCGACGTCATAACTAAGTCGTCAGCTGTTTAACAGCCTACGTCAAGGCGAGAAACCCCATGCTGCTTTCGTCACAACTGGTTGTTTGCTTTGAATATAAAACTACAGGAAGGAGCATAACCTCGAATCTGCGCGACCAGAATATGTGTAGGTTGCATATAGCCGACTAGTGTTTCCGGTTTGGCAGTGGCGTATATCTATTTAAATATGATTATCAATATTATGATTCACTCTTTTCGCACTAATCCCAGTGCTTATTATCACTTAAAACCGCTAAAATCCATTAAACATCCACTTGAATGAGAACACAGCGAACCACCAAAACAAATTATGAGTCATACTTGGAGGCTCAATATGGCCGTTTCCGTCTCTCCGTTGTCTGTAGTGACAGATAGAAAACGCTCCTTCCTGTAGTTTTATATTCAAAGGTTGTTTGGCGTGGAAGGGTAGGGGGGGATTTATTACACACAGGCCTTATGAGGATAAGAAATCCTGTAATAGTAGTGTGTATCATCCTTGGTGAACTGTAAACTCATTAGTTAAGTTACCAAGGTCACCAGACTGTGAAATTGGGCGTTAGAGTGTGTATTCTCCTTGTTTCTCATATGGGTATTATGGGTATTTTTATTTTACAAATTGAGTATTTCAATTCCAAAAGGTTGGCAACACTAACGGCAAAAATCCGTGCAAAGTTACGGCAAAAAATCGTACCGTTTTTTGGCGCGCGATCGAAACCGTATAATGTGAAATGAGCCTTAGGCACGTTTCTATTTATTTAGGTACCTACGTCCCATACCACCACGCACCGCGCAAACATTTATCGGCGCGTTAGTCAAGAACGATCTAAATACAGGATACGCTTAAATAGCATGAACTTGTATAGCCGGTATTTGTGATGTATTGTATAGTTAGAACTGTGCTTTATATGTATTATGGTTTTCTTACACGTGCGGTCTTGGATTATAACCAATGAAAGAATTAATTTTTATAGTTCGGGATGTCCGACGTCTAGGACTTTTAGCACCGGTATCTTGTTTGATTAGTTGTGTAGGTACAACATTTTGTCAACAACTTTTACAACATGAGTAGATTGGAGACTCTCAACTCCAACGAATTGGAGAAGCTGTATTCGGGTTTTTTTAAAAAGGGGAGCGCGAAAAGAAGGTAAGCTTTGTGACTTGTTTTAGAAAAATAATTATACCTCCTTGTTTGGAATCAGCTGTTTCAAGCCTGCAATGCTTTTTTTTTCAAAGACAAAAGTTTCTTAATATTTTATTTATGAATTGACTGATAGAAATTGATTTTTAAGAGGATATTATTTCATCAGCTGATCATAATCGTTGAGCGAGTTAAAAACCTGAAGAATAAGCTGTGCCTGAAGCCTGGAGCAAGGTGACAGAGTTGGGCTCGAGTTAATTTTTTCCATTTTTAACAGAGAACGCTTTGTTTAAATAGCTATTATAAAAGACTCTTTTTAGAATGTACATGTAAAAAAAGGCAATAAAACCATCTTTTATATCAACCAGAAAATAGTTTTGTAACATCTCCAACCGAGTCTCCAACTGATACCTACTTACAAAACAAATTTTCAGATAAAGTTCTTTATCTTCTAAATATTTTTTAAGTATTTGGGTTCATGATTTTTTTGTTAGTTTGAAGGCAATATTTTTTTCAAATTTTGAATTTTCGGAATTATAATAATCTCCAAGACTTCTATATCATTATTAGCAATCTTGTACCGTCACACAAAAAAGTCAAAGACAAATCAAAAATTCTATTCCTACCTATCTTCTTATTTTTGGTCTATTCTGATTTAACATCTCTCTACTCTACTTACTCTACTGTATAAAGGGGATTGGAATATTCTACGTTCTATGTAATTTTTTTTTTTTTTGTACCATCTTCTGCTACAAAATTTAAAATAACGTGACAAGTTAACAAAAGTTTGACATACACTGACATTAACATTAAGAGTTTCAGAAAGAATAATGACTGTCTCGATGACTGGGTAATAAAGGTAGTTTTGTTACATTACTCTAATGTAGATAGTACAAACGAAAAAACATATATAAAACTTAGTAAATCTCAATCCCCTGTATAATTGGTGCCCAAAGTGGGGCTCTTTTGAGAATAGTATGTTTTTCTGTTCTAGTCTTGAAGTGTTTTTCTCGTGAACTGACACTATTTTAGTTCAGTTTGTGACATTATTAATTGCTGAAGAAACATTATTTAATTTGAACTCTAGTAAAAACTGGTAATAGAGGTAGTTTTGTTAGATTCAGATTCAGATTCAGATTCTTTATTCATGCTAATGTTTAAAATACAAAACTTACACAAGTCAATAATAAATAAATGTCCACACACATGGAATTATAGATAAGTCACAAGATAAAATGACATTTACAAAACAATTATAGAATAAAATAAAATTACATATCAAAACAATTACAACAGATTTAAAACAAGTCTAAAATACCCAAAACTGAAAAGGCTAACAAGACAGGTCACTCTTCTCAAATTCATCCAATGAATAAAAAGCATTGGTAATTAGGATAGTTTTTATTTCTTCTTTAAATTGCTTTAACGGAAG